CCAGAAGGAGGTGCTCTTTCCTCTTTCCTAAATGTCACCAAACCATTTTATAGGTTAGTTGATCTCATCTCCCTGTAATTTTTTCTAAATACACCCAATTCTTGTTCTGAACTATTACAATATGGAGTATTTTTATTGCACTTGGTACTTATATAAGGCACTCTGGTGTAGTGTGGTGGTTGAGGCATTTGACTGCTAAACCAAAAGTCAGTGGTTCAAGTCCACCAACCACTCCATGAAAGAAAGATGAGGTGATCAGCTTCTGTAAAGATTCACAACCTTGGAAACCCAATAGGGGTGGCTATGAGTCAGAATCAGCTGAGTTTGTTTTTTGGGGTGGGTACTTAGATGCTACATTGTATTTTATTAATTTTGATGAGTCGTCATCATCATTGTGTACAATAGCAAATGACTCTAGGAATGGCAGACTTGGGATTTTTCTTTTTCAAATGTGCATAAAAGTAGTATATGTTTGAATTATTTTATAGCAAACAGTATGAATCTGTATATGTAATAAAAAATAAATGTCCCCCTTCTACATTCACACTTTGTCCATTCTCCTCCCCTGAGATGACAACTGGAAGGAAAAAACAAAAACAGCTAGACCCACTCCTGTCAAGTCTATTCTGACTCCTGGTGACCCTATAGAACAGGGTGCTGGGTATCGATTTTTCCAGACCCTTTTATGTTAATCTAGAGGAAGAGAATCAGAGGAATTTGTCTTCTTAATTGAATGGTATTATATGTTATTCAGTGACTTGCTTTATTTATTCAAAAATTTACTATAGGTCCTTCCACATCAGTGCATATAGCTCACGTGCTCTCTCTCTTTTTTTTAATGGCTACATAGAATAGTGCTCCAAAATGCACTTAACTTTTATCCTCCTGGTAGCTATTATGATTATCTGTAGGTTATCTTAATACTTGTACCTATAATCTTAAATGTATTTGTGTAAGATAACTTCACTCCATGGGAGAACAATGAGGCAATCTGCTTCCATAAAGATTTACAGCCTTGGAAACTTTATGGGACATTTCTGTTCTATCCTGAGTCATAATATACTTGATGGCACTGGCTTTAGGATAACTTTCTAAAAATGTAGTACTTGGGTTAACATCGATTTGGTTTTGAATCCTGGCTTTTCCCAGTTCTTGAACACAGTAAAAAATGTCTCTCAATCTGCTTCTTCTTTTGTACAATGAGAATGTAATAACTCAGAGTTTTATGAAAATTACATGACCTAAGGAACATTGGCAAACTAAGATGGGGCAATCTACTTCCGTAAAAATTTACCATCTCAGAAACCCAACATGGGTCACTATGGGTCGGAATCGACTCGATGGGTTTGGGTTTTTTTTTGGGTTTCTTTCTTTTTTTTTTTTTAAATAGGTTGTTTCCCAATTAAACTGTAAGCTTCAGGAAGGCAGGAGTGCCACATCTCTACACCGATTATTTTACTTTTATTTCACTGGTTGAGATGTAGGAAGCTATTCAATTGCCTGAATGCTGTCTTTAATCTACTTTTATAACCTTACAGGATCGCCAAGGATCCAAGATTTGAACGATTACCATGCACTCACAAAGGAACCTATGCAGATGACTGCTTAGTACAGAGAGTGACTCAGGTAGTACCAGTTTTAACATTTTTACTCTGTGGTGGGAAAGGAAAAAAAAAGAGAACTTCTGTCTCTCTTGAGTGTTCATACCAAAAAAACACCAAACTTACTGCCATGGAGTCATATCCAACTCATAGCGACCCCTCCTTGGGTTTCCTAGGCAATATCACTATGGAAGTAGATTATCCAGTCTTCCTTCTGAGGAGTGGCTAGTGGATTTGAATTCCCAACCTTCTGGTTAGCAGTCAAATACCTTAGGTGCTACACTACCAGAGCTCCTTGAGTGTTCATAGTTAATAACTTATTTAGGATTACAATTTTTTTTTTTTTTTTAATTATGTGAAGAATCTCATTACACAGAGCATAGGTGCCCTCATTTACCTGATAAAGTGGGTCGAAAATGTACACTATTACCATAATGGAAAGAGCACAGGCTTGGGAAGGAATCACAGGTTTCAAATCCCAGCAGTGTATCAGAGCCCACTTCCCTGTTCACCTAAATAGGGATCCGTTTACTCCCTGTATATCCATGATGTCTCTCTCTACCATGCTTACTCCCAAAAGTGTTTCTCATTTAAATCTGAGAGTCTCCCAGAGTGCTGCCTCGCATGTACCCTAAAATAAGTGATTTTTTTATACTTCTCTCTGGCTTCCTTGTCAAGCACCACAAGGACTCCTGCTGCGGGTTGCCCTTTTTAGAGTCTGCCTCTGCTGAGGATTGTCGTGAGCGGCCATCGCACTGGCCCTCAGCTCATGGCAGCCCTCTGCACAGTGGAACGGAACGCTGCCTGGTCCTGTGCCTTCTCCGTGACCAGCGGGGGATCAGACTGTTGGGATCCACAGGGTTTTCATTGGCTGATTTTCAGAAGTACATTGCCACACCTTTTATTCTCAGTCTGTCTGAGCCTGGAAGTTCTGGTGAAGCCTGTTCAGCACCATAGCAACACGCAAACTTTGACTGGCAGGTGGTGACCGTGCGTGAGGTACATGGCTTAGGAATCGAATCCAGGTCTCCTACATGAAAGGAGAGAATTCTACCATTGAACCACCAGTGCCCCTCTGCTGAAGATAATCATCATATGGTGACCACTCTGCTGTCCCTTTAACTACTTGATCCCATATTTAGGGCAAGCTTACCAAATCAAACTCACTGCCATCAAGTCAGATCCTACCCATAGCAACCCCTCCTTGGGTTTCCAAGGTGATATCACTATGGAAGTAGATTGCCCACTCTTCCTTCCGAGGAGTGGCTGATGGGTTTGAACCGCCAGCTTTCTGGTTAGCAGTCAGATGCCTTAGGCAGATGCCACCAGAGCTCCTAGGGTATTTCCCATGGCACAGCTGACACTGGGCTGCAACTCTTTATAAACTCAACTAAAGATTTAGATACAATGGAAGAAGAAAAGTAAAACATGAAATAGCCTCCAACTTGCAACTAAATGTTACTGCTTTTAGAGTTGCCAGGCTTCCACTTGTCCTTGAGATCCTATTCTGACTCCATGGCCTAGGAGATAACCTACCTCTATACTAGGAAGCTTCAGAGTATGCCCAAGCTGTGACATCCAGAGAAAGGGAAAACTACTCATCAGTCTAAGGCACTTACTCTGCATTTGCATACAGTCCCTCAGGGCGATTTCTCAAAACCAAGAAATTCTCTATCCCAAATGAGTAAATAAATCCTTTCCACTCTTGAGTAGAAAATAGTTTGCAACTTTTAAATCAGTTTTCTGCCACCTTCTCAAAATTCTTAGGGTTACAAACAGCCCAGGCAACTTGTTACATATTTTATAAATATAAGATCTCAGCTGGTAGTAGCTACTCAGCAAATTGCTCTATCTTTTCTTTTGCTATTTACTGTGACAATGAATGATTTTTCAGAGTAGTTTACTGGTTATGCCAAATATTCAGTAGTCACTAAGTGGACCCAGTGACCTTTATGTAAACACTCAAGTCCTTTTCTCTTACAGCACAAGTGTTATATTGTGGCCACAGTTGACCGGGACCTTAAGCGAAGAATCCGGAAGATCCCTGGAGTTCCTATCATGTACATTTCTAACCATAGGTGAGAAATTTCTTTGAGCAAAGTGATTAAAAGTGTAGAGTTGACATCAATTAAAACGGATGTCAGGTTATAGAAAGATTTGAAAGAGATTACTGTGCCAAACTTACATTAATGATTGGAACATGGAATGTATGAAGTATGAATGAAGGAAAATTGGAAATTGTCAAAAATGAAATGAAAATACTTAAATATCAATATCCTAGGCATTAATGAGCTGAAATGGACTGGTATTGGCCAGTTTGAATTTTGAATATGGTCTATGCCGGCAGTGTCAAATTGAAGAGGAACAGCTTTGCATTCATCATCAAGTAGAACATTTCAAGACCTATCATGAAAGGAAACACTGTCAGTGATAGGATAATATCCATACCCCAATAAGGAAGACCAGTTAATATGACTGTTACTCAAATTTATGCACGAACTACCAAAGCCAAAGATGAAATTGAAGATTTTTACCAACTTCTGAGGTCTGAAATTGATTAAACATGCAGTCAAGATGCATTGATAATTACTGGTGATTGGAATGTGAAAGATGGAAATCAAAAAGGATTGGTAATTGGAAAATAAGGCCTTGGTGATAGAAACAATGCAGGGATCACATGATAGAATTTTGCAAGACCAACCTTTTTTTTTTTTTTTTTTTTACCTTTTTTCAACAACATAGACAGTGGCTATACCCATACAAGGACCTCACCAGACGGAATACACAGGAATCCAATTGACAAGATCTGTGGAAAGAGACAATGGAAACACTTGCTATTATCAGTCAGAACAAGACCAGGGGCTGACTGTAGACAAAGGGCAGTTCATGAAGACAAAGTAAAATATTATAATGAAATATGCAAATACCAATAGTTAGAAAAAACAAAAGGGAAGAAAGCACTCAGCATTTGTCAAGCTTCAAGAACTGGAAAAATTCAAGCCTCGGGTTGCAATGTTGAAGGATTCTACAGGCAAAGTATTGAATGATGCAAGAAGCATCTAAAGAATATAGAAGGAATACACAGAGTCACTGTACCAAAAAGAATTAGTCATCATGCAACCATTTCAGGAGGTAGCAGAGATGATCAAGAACCGATGGTTCTTACTGAAGGAAGAAGTCAAAGCTGCACTGAAGGCATTGACAAAAAACAAGGCTGAAGGAATTGATGGAATACTCATTGAGATGTTTCACCAAATGGATGCAATGCTTTAAGTACTTGCTTATCTATGCCTAGAAATTTGGAAGACTGCTACCTGGCAACCAACTGAAAGAGATCCATGTTTGTGCTGATTACAAAGAAAAATGATCCAATGGAATGCAGAAATTATCCAACAGTTTTCTTATATTACATGCAAGTAAAATTATGCTGAAGATGATTCAAAAACATTTGGAGCAGTACATTGACAGGGAACTGCCAGAAATTCCAACCATACTCAGCAGAGGATGTGGAGTGAGGGATATCATTGTTGATGTTAGATGGATCTTGGCTGAAAGCAGAGAATACCAGAAAGATATTTACCTGTGTTTTATTGACTATGCAAAGGCATTCGACTGTGTGGATCATAAATTATGGAATCATGCAGAACCTATACATAGACCAAGAGATAGTCATTCAAACAGAAGAGGGAAAACTGCATGGTTTAAAAGCAAGAAAGCTGTGTATCAGAATTGTAACTTTTCATCTTATTTATCAATGTGTATGCTAGACAAATAATTCAAGAACCTGGACTACAT